CACAAAGGAACCCTTATGTCAACTGCAGAGTTTAGTTGATATTGATGTTGATAATACCTGATAATAATGGTAATACGACAATAATGTTTGTTCATGGACTATAGCAAATGTTTCCACTCTGGTGCAGAATGTTGATGGTGGTGGAGGTTGTGTGGGAGATTGGTGTGGGTGGGTAGTCAAAGTATATGGAAACTACTTTCAGTTTAACTTTGCTGTGGATCTAAACTGCTCTAAAAAACTGTCTATTAATTTAAAAAAAGAAAAGACATGTTCAAAGAGCTAACATATAAACATAGGGAGCTACAAATCACATTTCTAGCTTCCCTTGAAAAATTAGTTCTGCTGGTTCTAGCCCCAATCAGGGAGAGATGCACATGGCTGGATCTCACCTGGGGACGGTCCTCACCTGGCTGTCTTATTGTTTTCCATATATGACCTGCCTGGCCCTTGGAAGCATTAGGGTTTGAGACTCAGTCTAGATCAATGAGTCTTAAGTGGGGGTAAGAGTGTCCCCCCGCAGGGACACCAGCAATGTCTGGGGACATTTTTTTTTTCACTTTTTTCTTTTTTTTATGCCCTCACCACATGGCTTGTGGGACCTTAGTTCCCTGACCAGGGATTGAACCCAGGCCCTCAGCAGTGAGAGCGTGGAGTCCCAACAACTGGACCGCCAGGAAATTCCCTGGGGACATTTTTGTTTGTCACAGCTGGGGTATGCTCATGGCATCTAGTGGGTTGAGGCCAGGGATGCTGCAAAACATCCTGAAATTCACAGGACAGCCCCTGCCACAGAGAATGATCTGTCTCTGTCACTAGTGTTGAGGTTGGGAAACACTGGTGCAGAGCTGGTTCTCATCTAGGGAACTTTAAAAAATACTGATGATGGTACCACCCCTGCGATTCTGATTCTAATGATAAAGGGGTGCTACCTGGACAACAAGAGTCTTAAAAGCTCCCCAGGTGACTCTAATGTGTAGCCATACTTGAAAACCACTGGTCTGGAAGGCTCTTTGCATGGGTCAGGGCTTAAGGTAGCCAGGATTGTCATTTAATCATTCATTCACTCATTCCTTCAATGATGCCGCCAGCATCCACGACTTCTTTCTTTCTTCTTGCATAGAACTAAGGGTCCTAGAGGTGAGCCAGACCTGGCCCTCCCTGCCCTATTAAGGAGCTCCAGCCTCTTTTAGCCCATCATTTCTCAAATATTAGTATGCTTACAGGGATCTTGTTCAAATGCAGAGTCTGTTTTAGCAGGTCTTGGTAGGGAGCCTGGCATTCTGCATTTCTTAACCAGGGGCCACAGATGCTGTTCACCTGAGGACCACACTTTGTGCTTCATCCTCATTCAGGATTCTCACAAAAGCCTGACCCAGAAAATGCCTGCATCCTGGAAAACACATTGCCGCATGCTTTACAAATAATTCTACTACCTCTCACAAGTGCCTTAGATCGGACTACTGACAAAGCTCTCAATAGATCTTCACAATAGCCAGGAAAGGGAGTTCAGGATTATTTTACCAATGAGCCCATTTCACAGATGAGCAAACTGAAGCTCATGTAAGCAAAGCAACCAGCCTGGTGTTTACTCACTGTGAGAAGCAGAACTGACTCCCAATTTGAAGATTATTCCTTAAAGCCAGCTTGGCTCTCAGGTTCACAAAATTCTTAATTTCTGTACAAGGGGTCACACATATTCTGTAACTGGTCCTGCAATCAGCACACGGATACTGAGAAGAAACTTTTAGAGAGGCTTAGCAGGAATACCAAACTGGGGGACTAACAGCTAAGTCCAATGCCTCCCTTTTCTAAGGGTAGGCAAGTACCCCAGAGCAATCGCAGTGATTCTTGGGATCAAGCAGACCGGGGTTTGAATTCCAAGGCTGTCATCTACCAGCCATGGGACCACAGGCTCATTGTGTATGTAAATTAGCTTAGCCTCTATTTCCTATTTCCCCAGTTATGAAAGGAGGGAGTTGAATGTTGATCAGAGCAGGGGGTTCTCAACCTTGACAGCATATAGCATCCTTGGGGGAGAGGAGCTTGAAACATGAGCATGTCAGGGCCCTATCCCAGATATTCTGATTCTGTTGGTCTGGAGTGGAGATGAGATGGGGGTTTGAGAACCCCCAGGAGCCTCTAATGTGCTGCTGGGGTTCAGAACCACTGAACCCTTTCAGCCTTCAGGAACCTTCAGGCTGCAGTCCTTCAAGTTCAGGTGATTTACTCTGTGACTCCAGCAGAAATATCCCAACCCCTCTGCATGCTCCCAGCCAGCCCAGAGACCTCTTTCCTTTCGAGACTTGTGTCCTACATCCCTACTGGGCTGCTGCCCTTCACAATTTTCGATTTCCCAATGTGTGCTAGGTTCTGTACTTGCCCAGGGGACTGACCTGAGCCACCAGGAATTCATCTGCAGACAGGAAATACAGCCCCATGTTCGGGGCTAAGATAATACAAAGCTTATTTTGCTTTGCAAAGTAACTACTTTTCAGAAGAGCCTTTAAAGAAATAGACTCTGGCATGTGGACGAGCTAAAATAAAATGGAACAAAAACACTTGCCAGGCAGAGTATGATCTTATTTGCATAAGACTGTGCATTTACATCCGTAACTACAGGGGTATAAATGCAGAGAAGTGAGGTCTGGAATGGTGGCCTCCATGTCAACTGTAACTATCCCCTTTTTCCTTTGGGCTTTTCAGTTTGCTTGTTTGGTTTTCTTTCTTTCTTTTTTTTTTTAAATATACACAAGCACCTATTTTTATCATCTTTAAAAAAGCTACTTCCAGAGAATATAGTGATAATTTACATCTAAGTGGGAGAAAAGATCACAAAGTTTTGGGTGATTAGTCTTTTTTCTAAAGCTAAATTCTACCGTCCATTTAGTTTGCTGGTGTGCTAGAATTATTAAAATACTAGGAGGTGAACAAGAAACACTCCCAGAACCTTGTATAAAAATAGAATGCATTCTAAGGAAGCCATTTACCATCATTTTAAAAAATGGTTCAAAAAAAAAAAAACAATCCAAGAAGCTGGGTTTTCCCCCCAGCGATTCTCCATGAGGGTCTGGAGCTGGTGGGAGGAGGCTGACCCCAAATCATCCTGCCCTAGGGCCGGTACTGCTCAGTAAGTGAAAAGGATCCAGGCCAGACCTGGAAGAATTCCCTCTAGGCTCCGAGATCCAGCAGAGCCTTGGCCCAGGGAAAGGGAGAGGAGGTTGCCCCAGGGCCACAGCGGGGAAGGGGCACCGGTGTCACTTTCTCTGAACCTGATCACAGCTCCCAGCACTGCCGGCCCTTATATAGACACTAAGCTGCCGTTCTGGCTCCCCGCTCCAAGGGCAAGGAGTGAGGTCACGGCTGCGGGCAGCTAGGACGTCTGGCCAGGCCGGCAGAGCCGACCCGCCTGCGCCCTCACCACGACCTACGCCCCTCGCCCAAGTTCCTGCGACCGTACCCTGCTCGGACCCCTGACCTTCTCTCCCTGCATCCTCCCCAGCACCCGTTCCCTCTCCTCTGAGCAATCGCGTTCCTTTCCTTTCCTCCAGCCTGCATCTGCTTCCCCTCCCCCAGCGCCACAACCTCAGGAGCTTCTCTCCTTGCCCTCTCTCTTGTCTCTCCCCTCTGTCCGGCCCCGTATGGGAGAACCCCATGATCCCAGCACCTGCCTGCTTCTCCAAGCCGGTCCCTGGGACTGTTCCCCCACGATTCAGGCCTTTCCCCTTCTCCAGACCCCTGGGTTTACCGCCGTCCCTCGCCCCGCAATGCCAGTCCTCCCCAGCCTCCGGCCCTGGCTCACCTGGCTCATACTTGAGGTAGAGAATGGAGACGATGAAGTAGCTAAGGTCGAAGACAGGAAAGAGGGGCACCCGCGAGAAGCTGAGCGCAAGCTCGCCCAGGCTCAGCGCTGAGAGCAGCTCCATGGCGCCCGCCGGGTCCCACCACAGCCCCCGGCCCGGTGAGTCCAGTCGCCTGCAACTGCGCCCCCCCCACTGGACCCGCCCCCGCCCGCCAGGCGCCGCCCCCAACCCTGCCCCCGCGGGAGAGGAGGGGCGACCGCTGGCTGGCCTTGGGGAGGGTGGTGGGACCCTCCAGTCCCATGGAGGCCGGTCGGTCCAATGTCCCACACTGTCCCTCGGGCCATCACGACCCCATTCAGCCCAGTCAGGCGGGGTGCGGGGTCCCCGTGGAGTGAGTTGGACAGGCGATCTGTCCTTGGAGGGGGGCGGGATCCGTTCCTCACGGAGCCCACCCAGGCGGGACGGACCAATCAGGACCGCGTTCCTGTGGGGCTGATCAGGACCCAAGTCCTCTGTGGAGCCCTTGGATCCGGACCTCCATCCCCCATGGGACCAGATCAGTCGTGAACCACATACTCCCGTGCCCCATAGGGTCCATTCGGTCAGGACCCCCGTCCTCTATCGAGCTGTCATGATCCCAGCCCTCTGTAAATCATGACTTCTGTGCCGCGCAAGGAATCCCGTCCTCCTAGGGAACCGCTCAGTCGGGACCCCCGCCCCGGGTAGTGCCTGCCTAGTGGGGATCCCGCCTTCCGTGGGGCCCAGGAGGAGGCCCTTTTGGAGTACAACAGTCGGGGCGTCCATGCCCGGTAGAGTCCACTGCATCAGGACTCATTCCACTATGCATTTCAATGATCAGGGCGCACCGTTTCTCCAGAAGCCGCATCCGAGAGCCCAGCCCAGCAGAAGGCTAGTGTTCTGGCTGGCTGGTCTCTCACGCATGCGCGAAAGGCTTCCAATCCGTTACCCAACCCTGCCCCAGATGGCTCCGCCCCTGGGTGACGTCATGATGCCGCCCCGCCCTTTCTTGGTTACCCTCCCCAGGCCTTCCTAGCAAGGAGCGGCGCTCGCTCTTTCTTTAGGGGGCTTGGCCTGCAGAAGGCGGGACCCTGCCTGCCTTGACCTTTGATTGGTCCAGCCCTCTCTAGAGCTGCTTCGAGATTGGTCGGCCCGTGTTCCTCTCCCCTCCCTTCCCGAGGTTTCCGCTTCCTGTTCGGACGGACGCCCCGGCAGTAACAATGATCGGGGACATCCTGCTGTTTGGGTAATTAGGGGGACCAGAGGATGGGACGTGAGGGCCCGACAGGGTGGGGGCGGTCCAGGTAACCGCATTCTCCCTCTGCAGGACGCTGTTGATGAACGCTGGGGCGGTGCTCAACTTTAAGCTGTGAGTAGGCCGCGTTGGACCGTGGCTCCATCCGGGGGACCCGTAGCCCCGCCTTCGCGACGGCCTACGCCGCCGGCCCCGCCCCCAGGTCCCAGCCTCCAAGTTCCGCCTCCAACCGGGTCCATCCTTTGTGACTCTCCGCGCCGCCGAGATTTGAACTCTGGACTCTCAGTTCCCCCAGGATCCCTCTGCTCGCACCCATGAGAGCCTCAGACCCATCCCCCGAGAATCTCTTAGCCCTAATCTGTACCCGCAGCCCCGCACCTGGCTGCCTCGAACCACTCTCTCCACCCCGTCGGTGGCTGCAGGCATGGCTGTGATTGGCTGGGCAAGGGGTGGCCCAGGGAACATCACTGAACCGCGCAAAAGAGGTCACACAGCAAACCAACGGTAGGGCTAGAGCTCCCCTCTGAGCTGGGGATCAGGACCCGGGGACTAAGTGGTCTGTTTGTCCTATTGAAAGTGGTCGCTGTCTGCTTCTGTTTGTAGGAAAAAGAAGGACACGCAAGGCTTTGGGGAGGAGTCGAGGGAGCCCAGCACAGGTAAGGCCTCCTTTCTGTACTCTGGAATTGGTACATTTCAGAGAGGACTGTTCTTTTTCACCAGTTTTCTTTTAGGGGTGTGTGTGTGTGTGTGTGTGTGTGTGTGTGTGTGTGTGTGTATGTGCCTAAGTTTGTGCTGCTCCTTCTACCCACCTCTGTCATCCACTGCTTTCTCCTACCAGACCTCCCTGCATAGGTCAGCACTCATATCACTTCTTACAGTTATAATTTTCTTTTATGTATGCTGTCATCTGGCTAATATCTAGCTCTCACACTTGACCTTAAGCTCCAGAGAAGAGGCTCGAGCTTGTTTTGGCTCATCTGTGTCCTTGCAGTTCCAGCATTCCAGCATGGATGAATGAATGAGTGAATGAATGAACAGCCTATTGTTTCCAGAATGCTGTAGACCTATTTGTTTAATTTTCAATTAGATTAGCTTTCAAATAAATCAGGAGATGTCATATAAAGATTCAGATGTATGATTTTTCAAGAAAAATGGGAACATTCTACAACTTGGGGTTCAAGCGACCTTTTGACACCTGTTGAATAGGAGTTGAGAAGCAGGACCCCACTGAAACCGGGCCTGTGGCCTCTACCTCATCCCAGCCGCTGCCCCCTTATCTTTGTATCATTTCACATGACTGGCCCCTGGAGGCCCTAGAATGTATACTTCCTGCTAAATTGACACATATGACTATTTGGAGTCTAATGGGGCCTGTACGTGACTATTGTATCCATTCATTCATTCGTTCACCAAACATTTATTGAACACCTACTATGTACCAGCCACTGTGCTAGATGCTGGGGACACAGCAGGGAACAAGAGAGAAGTAATTCCTGCCTTTGGGTTGTACTCCAATGGGGTGGGACAAACAGTCCCTAAACAAGGAACACACAGTGAAGAAGATGTCAGGAGGATAGCAGTGGGGTTGCTGCTCTGGCTGGGTTGTGTGGAGGGAAGGCCCTCTGAGGAGGTGGCATTGCGGCCAAGGTGGTGGGTGCTATGATGGAGCATTGCATGAGGACTGTAGGAACCCTAAGGGGCAGCGAATCTGAAGGCAGTCTGACACTCCCCTTTACTGGGGGCCTGCCAGGTGGTGGCTGCCTTGTTAGGTGCTTCCTATGGGTGTTTCACTCCACCTCCATTCCTAAAAGGTAAGGAGCATTTTCCCATTTTACAGATGAGGAAACTCAGGCTCAGAGATGTGGCTCAACTTGTTTGTGGCCACACAGCAAATCAGCGACAGCATTGGGATTTGAGCCTGGGTTTTTCTGACTTCAGAGGTTGTCCTCTCAATCACTAGGCTGTCCGTCTGTTCATTCATGCATTCATTCAGCAGCTGTATATGTTGCTTACCCACTACGTGGAAGGCACTATTCCAGCCCCTGGGGCTGTGATCTATAGATCTGAGTTGGAGCTATGGTAGGTGGGAAATTGGCCACGTGGGCTCGAAAGTGGTGGGAGCATTGGTGACAAGGGTAGTCAGAATGGTGGCTTCCCTCTGATCGGGGGCTCCCTGCTAGGCTCCTTCAAACTAGGACTCTGTGTTGGCAGTTGCCCCTGTAGATCATACTCCTCTCTGTCCATCCTCTGCCTGTGACCCCTAATATCACAGTGGCTTCGTTTATTGAGAGTGTCCTATGTATCAGGCACTGTGCTGCAGCCTTCCCAGTCCCCCATCATCCCCATTTACACAGGAGGAAACCGGGGCATATGTAGGCCCGGGTCACCTGTGTGGAAGGTCAGTAAGCTCCAGCCCACGTTTTTTTTGGCTGCGTTGGGTCTTCATTGCTGTGCGTTGGCTTTCTCTAGTTACGGGAAGCCGGGACTACTCTTCGTTGCAGTGTGTGGGCTTCTCAGTGCGGTGGCTTCTCTTGTTGCAGAGCATGGGCTCTAGGCGTGTGGACTCTAGAGCACGGCCTCAGTAGTCATGGCGCATGGGCTTAGTTGCTCCACGGCATGTGAGATCTTCCTGGACCAGGGATCAAACCCGTGTCCCCTGCATTGGCAGGCAGATTCTTAATCACTGCACCACCAGGGAAGTCCCCAGCTCACGTTTAAGGTTGGAGTTCACACACTTTCCCAGTGAGTCTTCTTCTGACCCCACCCCGCTCCCAATGGATGCCAGGTTGGGTTCCCCCATTACAGCTCCCATGTCACTTGTCCTAGTGAATAATCAGGTGTGTGGTTACTTGCTTTTATATTAGTATTTGCCCTCCCTGTGAGCTTCTTAAGGCAGGGACACGTGTCTCATTCCTCCCTGTATCCCCTGCACTCAGCTACTCCGTGGGATGAGTAGCCTTTAGTCAGCGTTTGTTCATGGTAAGAGAGGGCATTTTTGTGATCCTGGGCTCAGAGAAGGGCCTTGCCAAGCAGTGCCTTGCAGACATTCTGGGAACGGATCTGTCTCTGACATTTGCAGTCTGTGCTGGGCCAACACTTATATAGGCTATGCTACATGTTGCTAACCCCGTGGCTTGGACAACACTGGGCTTGTCTAAACCATGTAGAGCAACACCTTGTGCTCTTCATGCACTTGGATGGTGCAGCAGTGCCAGGTGGCGGTCATGTTGGGTTGCTGTGGAAGTTTCTGAGCTTCCCAGTGTTCCAGCTCTGGTCTGTGGATGACACTTTGGGTAACACCCTTGTAGATCATGTAATCTGGATCCATTCATTTCATTCTGGAGGCCTCAAGAGGCTGGGCAATCAACTCAAAACCCCAGAGGAAGTTCCTGGAACCCGAGTCTCTGGAGTCTTTTTCTTTTAAATTAATTAATTAATTGCTGGTTGGGTCTTTGTTACTGCACACAGGCTTTCTCTATTTGCAGCGGGGGTGGGTACTCTTTGTTGCAGTGTGTGGGCTTCTCATTGTGGTGGCTTCTCTTGTTGCAGAACATGGGCTCTAGGTGCGTGGGCTCAGTAGTTGTGGTTCGCGGGCTCTAGAGTGCAGGCTCAGTATTTGTGGCACACGGGCTCAGTTGCTCGACGGCATGTGGGATCTTCCCTGACCAGGGCACGAACCCGTGTCTCCTGCATTGGCAGGCGGATTCTTAACCACTGTGCCACCAGGGAAGTCCCTCTGGAGTCTTAATGTACCAAATTCCCTCTTCTTGGAGTGGTTTCTGTTCCTTGGCATCAGAGGGGACTAGAGTTAGTCGTCACCAAAGCAGAACTCCCATTTTACTTGCCTGAATTAGTATGCTTTTTCAGTTGTAAATGCTGAAAACCAGCTCAAAGTGGTTAAAGCAAATTGAAACATCGAAGGGTAAAATGGTCCTCGGGCACACGTGGATTCAGGGCTTAAACTGGCTCTCCAGCTTGTGACCCTCCCCAGCTCTCTTTTCCTCCTGGATTGGTTTTACTATCAGGCTGGCTTGTGTTGACAAAGATGACCCTAGAGCAGGGCTTGGCACATTTTTCTGTAGAAGGCCAGATCATAAATAGTTTAGGCTTTGTGGGCCATAGAGTCTCTGGTGCAACAGTTCACCTCTGTAAGTTGAAAGTAGTCATGGATAATATGTAAATGAGTGGGCATAGCTGTATTTTAATAAAACTTTATGGCTGTTGAAATTTGAGTTTCATGTAATTTTTGTGGCTCACAAAATAGTTTGTTTTGTTTTTTTTAACCATTAGAAAGTATAAAAAACATTCTTCACTCGTGGGCGATAACAGAAATAGGTGGCAGAGGCCAGCTTTGGCCTACAGGCCATGGTTTGCACCCTGCCTTAGAGGACTGGGCTTACATCTTTGCAGTCCAGCTAGCCTGGCAGAAAGCAAGTGCCTCTTTCCTGGTAGTTCGGGCAACAGTCCCAGGGCTGGCTCTCATTGGACAGACTGGGGTCACGTGCCCTTCCCTGAGCCAGTCAGAGGCTGAGTGCTTGGTTCTCTCAGGGGGTTAGTCAGTGGCAGCTATAGCCTCAGTGCTCAGGGCTGGGGAACAGAGGCGGCCCAAATGAAAAGCCATGCTGCCATTGGAACATGGGGGCAATGGGTGTGGGGTGGGCAGAAGCACACTGCAGCCGTGACAACAGAAATGTTAGCACTGCTTGTGAAAATGCTTTCTGACTTTCCAGGTGACAACATCCGGGAGTTCTTGCTGAGCCTCAGATATTTTCGAATCTTCATCGCCCTATGGAATGTCTTCATGATGTTCTGCATGATCGTGTAAGTCCAGCCCGCCTCTCTCCTTCATTGTCATTATCCTCAGGGTCGTTCTCCAGAATGGTCGTTTTCTGTCCTCCCAGTCTGCACTTTTGTGTCATGCTTTCTGCTTTCAAAGTAAGAACTCTCCACACTAGAGAGGAAACTGGGGTCTGTAGGGATTAAACTATGTCACTGCAGTCCAGGCTGGAGCTTCAATTGGAACATGGCGTTCTTCAAGTCCTGGCTGTGCCTGGTGCCCCAGCAGAGGCTGCCAAGAGATGCCTTCCCCTGAGCCCATGGCTCCATCACCTCTCGCCAGCTCTGTTGATTGTGCTTAGCCTATACTTGGCATTGGCCTATACTTGGAAAATACGTCTTGAAAGGCCAGCGTGCTGCTGGGTCTTGCTCCCAGCCTGCTGGAAGCCAGCAGGAGTGTATTCAGGCTTTATTTCTGCTTTTTATGCCTATTTTATTTTCTCATTAGACTAAAAAAATCCAACTGGATTGGTTTTCCTTTCAGTGTCAAGACCATGCTGTTAGTGAATTATGAGACTCATAGTAAACAGACTCGGAAAAAAAACAAGGAGAATCTGGGGTTCTGGGCCAGGCTGTGCCCATCTCCATGTGCTTCCCCTAAAGAGGAAGAGAGTGAAAATTGGCTGTCTTGAGTCATTGAGATGCTGAATTTGGGGTTACTGTGCGGTCCTTGTGCCAGCCCAGTGGCTGTTTGAGGGGATGATTCCAGGACTTAGGAGATCGGGGGAGGAGGGGTTTCTGTGCTGCTGGAGAGTATTTTAGAGCCCAGAATGAGGGCTGTAATGTATTCCCAGAGAGGCCCTTTTTGGGAGCTCAGATGAGGCCTGCCTGGGTACAGAGAGGGCTCATGAAGAGATCAAGGAATTTGCAGAAGAGTGTACGAAGTATAACTAGCTCTCACAGGAAGTAGAAGTGTTGGGGGGCTCCTCCAGCCTTTGTCTCTCTAGATTCCCACCTACCCATTCATTCATTTATTTATTCAAAACTGTCTTTTGAGGGCTGTGCTCTGGGATTACAGTTGAGACCAAAACAGCCATAGTCCCTGCCTTCAGCGAATGCACAGAATAACAGGGGTGTAAAATAAGCAAATAGGGGGAAGAATCAGTTGTGAGATGGAGAATTGGAAGGGGGCTCCCAGTTTAGGAGGGTCAGGGAGAGGTCCTCTGAGAAGATGCCATTCAAATCAAGACCTACAGAACGAGAGGAAAGCCTGCCATTTGCAGAGCTGGAGAGGCACAGTAGCACCAGAAGCAGCATTGGCAAAGGTCCTGGGGCAGAGAAGAACTCGGTGTGTTTTCATCATTTTGTTCCTTTCTGTCCATTGGCTTCATCGTCCTCTCTTACCTGACTAGCTACTTTTACTGCTCTACCTGCTGGCCTGTGACCAGGATGGTAGCCTCAGGCTTTGTGACCTCCCAGCTCAGCCCAAGGCTAGCTTAGCCAGTAGCCCAGTGTCCTGATTTTGATTTCTGGGAGTATCTAGGTGTCACCCAGATCTACTTGGATTGGGAGTTCCTACTTCTAGCCACTTAGGTCAGGGGTCAGCAAACCACAGCCCATGGGCCTCTGCCTATTTTCATGAATGAAGTTTTCATGAATGGAACCCATGTCTGTCACTGCTTTTGCACTACAATGGCAAGGTTGGACCATTTTGACAGGCTTACAAAGCCTGAACTACTTAATGTGTGGCTTTTTACAGATCCCTGACCTAGGCCAGCTCTTTTAGCACATGCCGTGAGTGAGGGAAGCTTTTCTCCAGAAAGGGCTCTGTCAGGGAGGCAGTGACTGGCTTTTTCAGGATATCAAAAACTGGAAATCACCTAAGTCTCCAAGAATAGAAGAGTCAGGTAACTCGAAGGACACCCATACGACCAACTGACAAAACACCATCATTGATAATGTGCCTGAAGGTTCTGTCTACACAGGAGAATTGTTTGAAAGTAAAGAAGGTCGGGTGTCACCTGTATGCACACTCTGGTGTCAGTTGTGACTTGCACACAGTAAACATTGAATAAATGCTGAGTGGGTGTGTGAGGGAAATAACTTCCAGTGAGAGAGTTGGAAGGGTCTACTCCAGACTGTCCACAGAGGTGACTGTGCTGTGACTGCTGAGGAAGTTAGTGGGCTCAAGGGATAGTTTGCTATTCCATGTACTCATTTCTGTATTGTTGGAGCTGAGCTCAATTGGAAATTTTTAAAAGCCATAAAAAACTTGAAATACAGAGAGAAAGTTGTCTGAACGTTTAGAGACCAAGGGCACTGATATCTGCGACTTCGAAACATGAAAAATAAAGTAGATGGATCAATGGATAGATACACAGTAAAGCAAAGCATTAATTGCAGGTGGTGTGTATGTAGGTGTTTGCTGAACTGTTATAACTCTTCTATATATGTTGAAATCTTCATTTAAAAAGTATGGGCGGGGGCCTCCCTGGTGGCGCAGTGGTTGAGAGTCCGCCTGCCGATGCAGGGGATACGGGTTCGTGCCCCGGTCCGGGAGGATCCCACATGCCGCGGAGCGGCTGGGCCCGTGAGCCATGGGCGCTGAGCTTGCGCATCTGGCAACGGGAAAGGCCACGACAGTGAGAGGCCCACATATCGCAAAAAAAAAAAAAAAAAAAAGTATGGGCGGGGAGAAGATAGGGAGAAAATGAGAGTGTCAAACCATGGAAAAGGGTTTTAATAAGTAAAAAGTGGAAGTCAGTCTTCACAATTCAGTATTTTTTAGTATTTTCATATGGTTGTGCAACCGTCACTACTCTCTAATTCTAGAATATTTTCATCCCCCCCAAAGGGAAACCCAGTACCCATTAAGCATTTCCTTCCCATTCCTCCCTCCCGCAGCCTTGGGCAACCATTGATCTCCTTTCTGTCTCTATGGATTTGCCTATGCTGGGTATTTCATGTTGATGGAATCATACAGTATATGGCTTTTTGTGTCTGGCCTCCTGCATTCAGCATAATGTCTTCTAGACTCTTCCATGTTGTAGTGTTTATCAGTATTTCATTCCTTTCTGTGGCTGCATAATAGTCCATTGTATGGATATGCCACAGTTTGTTTATCTGCTCATCAGTGGATGGATATTTGCAGTGTTTCCATTTTGAATAATGCTGATATAAACATCTGTGTACAAGTTTTTGTGCAGACTTAAGTTTTGAGTTCTCTGGTATATAACCAGGAGTGGAATTGCTGGGTCATATGGTAACTATATTTATCCTTTCGAGGAACTGCCAGACTATTTTCCAAAGTAGCTGCAGTAATTTTCATTCCCATCAGCAGGGTATGAGGGGTCCAGTTTCCCCACATCCTTGCCAGTACTTGCTATTGTCAGTTTTTTTGATTATAGCCATCCTAGTGGATGTGAAGGTTGATTTGCATTTCCCCAATGGTTAATGCCATTGAGCTTTCATGTGTTCATTGGCCATTTGTATATCTTCTTTGGTGAAATGTCTTCAGATCCTTTGCCCATTTTTTAGTTAGGTTATTACTGAATTGTAGTTCTTTTTATGTTCTGGATACCAGTCCCTTATCAGATATATGATCTGCAAGTATTTCCTCCCATTTGGTGGATTGTCTTTTCAGTTTTTGTTTGTTTGTTTGTTTTTTGCGGTACGCGGGCCTCTCACCGCTGTGGCCTCTCCCGTCATGGAGCACAGGCTCCGGACGCACAGGCTCAGCAGCCATGGCTCACGGGCCCAGCCGCTCCGCGGCATGCGGGATGCTCCCGGACCGGGGCACAAACCCACGTCCCCTGCATCAGCAGGCAGACCCTCAACCACTGCGCCGCCAGGGAAGCCCATCTTTTCAGTTTTTTATGGTGTCATTTGAAGTGCAAAATTCTACAATTTTGATTAAGTCCAATGTATCTGTTTCTTCTGTTGCTTGTTCTTTTTGTGTTATAGCTAAGAAGTCATTGCCTAACCCAAGATTATAAGGATTTACACCTAAGTTTTCTTCTAAAAGTTTTATAGTTTTAATAGTAGGTCTGTGATCCACTTTGAGTTAATTTTCATATATGGTGTGAGGTAGGAATCCAACTTCATTCTTTTGCATGTGGTGACCCAGTTGTTCCTGCCCCATCTGTTGTTATTTTTTCAAATAACCTTTTTATTTTGGAAAGAGTTTAGATGTATAGAAATGTTGCAAAGGTAACACAGAGTTCCCATATACAATTGAGCCTTGAACAACACGGGGGTTAGGGGTGCCGACCCACCTCACAGTCGAAAATCTGAGTATAACTTTACAGTTGGCTGTCCGTATCTGCAGTCCTGCTTCCATAGATTCAAGCAACCTTGGATTGTGTAGTACAGCAGTATTTACTATTGAAAAAAATCCACGTGTAAGTGGGCTGGCGCTGTTCAAACCTGTGTTCAAGGGCCAACTGTGTATCTTTTTAACAATTCTGTGGTTTTCCCCTGTAGGCCTGTATCATAACCTATTCTCAAACTTCATGAACATTTATACAGTTTCTAGGCCTTTTCTATTCCAGGTTTTCTTCAATTAACGGAGTTATCTCTAATAATCGTTTGTTTACTCAAAGGTCTTTTTATTTATGAAAGTCACCACTGACTTGCTGTGATAGAGAATGGGCTAAAATAAAATGTTACAGATTCATACCAAGTAGATACTTTTTAAAAGAGTTACTTTTTTTTCAAGTGTACAGTTTGGCAGTGGTAAGTGTGTTCACATTGTTGTGTAACAGAGAGTTACTCACAAAATCAGAACGTGATGTAAAATGATCTTAGTGATAGTAACCAGAAAATATTTCCTGAAAGTGTTTTCAAGGCAACCGCTTCCCATCCTCATGGATGTTTCTGCCCTCTGACTTTTCCAGGCTCTTTGGCTCCTGAGCTCCAGGTACAGAACCGGAAACACACCTCCTCAGAGTGTCTCTTCCTCCATTCCTGATGACTTCAAGAATGTTTCTGACCAGAAAACCGGTGACCTTCCCAGAAAGTCCAAGCTTGTGGTGGGTGGAAAAAATGTTCACCAAGATGAACACAGTTTCCCAGCCACGTCACTGTTTTCTTTTCAAAGATATTTTCACTTTGATCTCTGCCTTGAAATGCTGTCTACTTAAAAGAGTTTGAAGAGTGTTTATGTGAGGGGCTGTGGTATCTAGATTGTTTAATCAGATCAGAATCCCTCTTCTACCAAACTTTCACTGGAAACCCATCTGGGTATTTATTGGTTTATTTTTAATAACCATCCTTTTTCGGTTCAAATTATACAGATTTTTAAAAATCTTTTGTATCCAGGGATCTGAAGCAGAAAGGTTGGCTTTTAAGTTTGATGCAGCCTCTTATTGGACTGCATTTGTGAGGAATGAGCAAGTTCATTGTTGCTGAGTCTGTGTCCAAATTCCTTCCCCATCCCAATGGGCTCTGCTTGGCCACTCCATGCTGCTGAGGTTGTCCCCAGGACTTGAAGGGTGAAGTGTTATGGGTTCCTGTGGAAGAGAGGTGCAGAGCAGTTGGCAGGGTGGATGGGGGTTTGCCTTGCCTTGAAGCCCTCTATTAAAGTAACTTTTGGGACCATTAATTGTATAGTTTTTAGAATGAGAGTGATTTATGTGGTGATATTGGGACCCAGTTCTGAAAGCTTGGGTTTTGGGGTCTGTTTTTCAAGTGGATGATTTCAAGGTTGAAAAACAAACCTCATTGGAGGAAATACAGCATTTTGCATGGAAGCTTCTTTGAAAGGGAGCCCTGGTTTAATCGCCAACATGACACTTGGGTGGTCAGTGCCCGGATCCTACAGGTGTTTGATTTGTTTGTTGTGGTTTTTGAAATCCTAACTTGCAGGTAACCTGGTAGGAGGAAAGAATAAATATGCAGGCTGTTAGAACTAAAGAGAATTGAAAATAAAGCTCATTTCTAAAAAGGACCTTTTGTTTATATATTTTTTAACCAAGAAGTCTTTTGTAAATTTTTTAATTTTTGATACTTTCATCAGGTTTTTTTTTTAATTATTGAATATAGTTGATTTAAAATGTTGTGTTAATTTCTACTGTAGAAGTTGACTGTCAATTTGAGTTGTTTCAAATTACACTGTGGGAAACACCTAGGATTCATTTATTGTGGAGGCTGTCAAAAAGTCAGAAAAGAGGCAATGTTAGATACTCCTTTTCAGTTTTTGTTCAATAAATGTTGGGCAGGAATTGGGCAAATACGATTTTGACGGGCTGCACCTGGAAGAATCGAATGAGTTAGTGATAATGGTGGGATTTTGCTAGGCCAGGGTCAAGTCCACTTGTCTTGCAATTCATTCTACTTCATAGCTTCTGTAATTTATTCCCTTGTCAAATCTGGGCCGAGTATCACCCCGTGGTTTGTAAGTAGCAGGGAACAGGGCTGCTGAATCGAGCTTCTCGCAGGCCAGTGTTCTTGTCAGCAGG